TTTTTCTTGCAACATTTCCTAATCTGTATTTTTTTTACTCCGACGTGCTTCCTTGAATTGCTCCTATTTAAAATCCCATCGCAATTAACCGTGCTAATTAACTTCATGGAAAAGATCGTCTCTAATTTCGGTGGGTGAATGTGCTGAGTCAGGTTGTTTTTGAAAGATCCCAAAGCCTAATTGCTGTCGTTGTCCGCGATCACAGCCAGAGTTTCTTAACTCAAAAGCTCCTGTGAAAACACGAGACTTAGCAAGCAATCGAATGCAGGTCTCTACCGAGTTGTGAAGGAAGCTTCAAGAGCGAGACCAGTTCGTCGCTCATTTGTTTAAAATTAGACAGCATAGCTTTCAATGCTGGCTTATAGCCGAGCAATTCATCCCGTTATTCAAAAGTGGCTTTCTTACTTGATATCGAAGTTAATAGGCGTTGTGTTGGATCGAACTTTTGCTATGAGCGAACACTTCGAAACTCATCTTCGGACACTGCAGAAGTAAAGCGTACTGCAGTACAAACTGCACCTCTCATTATAGTGTTTTATTCTTAACTTGCGCTCACCGTGAACTTCGAAGTATTATGGTGGATTTGTTGATCTTCTGGTTACAAGACAAATCTTCTTCTTACCAAAGATTCATTTTTTAATACAGTATCTAAATGTCCGAAGGTATCCATTTTCGAGTGATGCATTTACCTGAAATGAAATTGCAAACGAACAGAATCTTCACATCTTTTTCGTAAGAAGGACTTCAAGCTGCAGCTTTCAACGAATTTGTCTTTACATTCTATTTAATTAATTCATTATAGCCGTTCTAAACAACAAAAATTCTAACGGTAACACCGTCCGTAGTATTTTTAAATGCCAAAGTGGCCTATTATCTTACATTCAATTCAGGGTTAAAATTAGTGAAATTTTTTTCTTGAACTACATTATAAACGATTGATCTCACATTTGAGAAACCTTTTATTCGTCTTGCGCATTCGGAGATCGCGATAGATTTATATACAACCGACAACCAGTCAACGTAACTCACAGCTGTACCGATAACGCCTCCTACGCTTCGGCAGTAAAAAAGTTACACGCGTGTAGTTATAGATACACATGGAACCCTGAACAGTAATTTGCCGCCTGAAGAACACGCTCTTTATTTCAGTGACAAGCTGCATCCACTAAATTTCAACTCCAAATAGATTTTTATCTCGAGCTAAGAAGCTTAGGAGTAAAGCAATTTACAGAGAAAGCTTTGATTCTGCTCTCATTCGCACCAACATGTGTCGCAGTCTTCTTAGCGTCGCAGCTGTAGGATGAGAGTTTCGATCTCAACTAATGAACAACTTTGAGATTTTATTGAACCTTCTAATAATAACAATCTGTTTAATTTTATTTCTGCTTAAAAAATTTAAATTTATTTCTGAAAGTAAGTTAATTAGGACTGATAGGAAGCCAGTATATCATACGCCTTTCGAGACCGCAACTGAATAGCGTTAGACAGAGCCGCATATCAATCTGCCAATATGTATATCGGTATGAAAGAAACGTGTTTCATACTCCTGATTATAGACTTATATATGTTGTTAAATGCTATCCTGCGAATTATAAAAAAGGTAAAATATATCAGAAAGTATTACCTATTGCGTGTTTAAATCATACGTGAAGAATATCTATACCGGCGTTCATGCTGTATAGGTCCTTACTTAACGTTTCGGCAAACTTGCTAGAATATTTTTATTTTCATATATACTCAACGGAACTTTAAATTTTGACATCATGCGTTGCATTTTTCAAATTACAAATTGCAACACAGCCAAAAATTTAACTGCATTCGACAGTTCTTCCTCCCGCTTGAAACTCAGCGTGATGGGAGCGTATAGACGACACCCTATATGCATTTCAACAGCTTCGTCTCCATGGTGTCAGTTCGCTATACGTCCGATGGTCAGCAATTTGAGCAGAACGAAGCCAATTTTTAAAATATTCAGTTTCAACGTCTCCAAGTTTTCCAACTTGAAACTCTCACTGCGAAGCTACAATATAACGAATGTTGTAGGAGCAGGTAAATTGGAATACATCGCTGCTGGATCATTTTCACTTTCGAACGGAATCACTGCATGTTACAGGGCATTCAATTTGATGCCACAGCACTAGTTCATTTTAGTTACATTTATAAGCTTGAATTCTTAAGTTTTAAATTATTATCATCTCTATAGACACGAAAATCGATCAAATATTTACAATTAAAAATTATATTAAATTCATTCATTTCATTCATCGGAGCTCATTTACTGGAATTGCTTAGGTTCAACAGCAAAAGAAGGGATATCAAGCAGAGCTCTATGTATAGCTTCAGGAAGAAAGCCATCAAGAATCATGCCAGACCGCCCATGATCACGAACCCTATTGAAAATGCCTGTATTATCGGTTTCCATACAATTAATGGCGAGTGCTTGGCCCTCCCTTATTCACCAGTGATTTTCAATGAGGTAGGACCTACGTTCAAAACTGGTCGCCCCTTTTGCCTATCTGATGCAGTGCACCAAAATTTGCGTCACGATCGACCGATCTATACGGAAGAAAAAACGTCAACCAGCCAAAACATCGCATTTTTATATCGATCTATTTCCCGTGATCGATGTCCGCAACGCTTCAATCGATTTCTTTGGAAGTCAGTGAGCTTCTGATAGGCGAATAGGTTTCCATTTTACAAGAAGCATTTTTTCGTGGCGTCTTCCAGTTTTGAGAAGACGAACAATGAAATAAGATTTTTAAAGAAAGAGGTCGTTCTGCAGCAACCAAATCGTGACGGGACGAGCACAACCCATGACACGTTGCAGAAAAGATCGCCATGGCTTTATTATGTATTGGGAAGCCTCTACGCGGCGGGTATCATAATTGTGGAATGGCCGTGGTCATTTTGTTCTACAGTCAAAATATTGACGTATTTTTAGTTTATATTGAAACACAATCTTATATACAGTCGGGTTATATCGTATTTTAGTATCATAAACCTAGAAGCATTTTTGGAACTGCCGAATCGGTGACGTTTTCACTTTAAACATCAACACTGACGCATCAGAGTAATAACACGAATTTTCATTTTATTTTCCCTCTAGAAATGAGCAAACGATTGTTCATATTATTAGGAATGCATCTAAGCTTAGAGATTATATCTTAATTTTTAATTAATTTATCTTAAATGAAAACACCACAAATGCCGCAATTAAGTAAATATAGATCGATGATAAAGAGAAACGATAATAATAGTACTGTCTCTGAATAATTTTCTATACATTTATCTCGGATAAAAACTATCCAAGGCTCATAAGTATATTTTACGCGGGTATTTTGATCGAAGATTTCAAATCTTACTAGATTGATCGCATTGGATCGAAATATTTATTTTCTTCTGTTAGTATCAGTGATTTGTACCTACTCTTTCTACTCAAATATTTATAACACTGAAATACACCTTTATTTAATATGATCCTTTGAGATGAAAAATAAAGGAAAATGGCTCGACTGCTCGCATGCACGTTCGTCCCCAATTGCGTCCAGCCTCGGATTCTTTACTTGTCGTCCCTCTAAAGCTCCATATTAATTCATATACATGAACAACATTCTGAATTTTAGCACATAAAATGTGTGTATTTTTGCAATTATGAATTAATAGTGTGCTAACGAGGGACTGCGTCTGTTACTTTTAACTGCACTGGTCTACTTATATTATTATGGCCAGTTTTATCTGCCTACTGAACATTATTTTAATTCATTTCGTGGGTGACTTTAAATTTGAGATTTGGGGGACGTTTCGTCGTCCCCCCAGAAGTGTTTCAGTTTTCAGGTTTTTATATAATTTTTATATAATTTGGGTGTCTTCTGGTAACTCTTTAATAATTTCCTACTGAGTTGCGAGGTACAAAAGACGAGTTTGGGACATGAATGAATAATTAACTGAAATTAAGACATTTTCACGTAATCTGAATTATACTGGCAACCAAATGGACGTTGCAGGTTCTAGGAAGAGGCCGTTCTCAAAAATTTATGCCACATTTTAAAATATTAATATTTAATTATTTTTCATCACTGAAAACTTGAATGAATTGTAGCGATTTTTAGTCCGTATGAAATCATGGAAATAAGTAGGATCTCATTAAAATTGTGATCTCTCTCACATTTATTTATGTAATGCTTCCGGCATGTTTTCGTGCTGTCTGAGGAATGGAGCGAATATTAAATGAAATTAATTCTTTATGGACATTGTTAAAATTGTAAACCGCAAGTGTTAGTAAAATTTTAACGTGAATCAAGTCAGTTTCGGGTTTAATTATTAATAATATCACACTGATTGATGGCGGAATGTTTGTTGTTGTTATAAAATCCCATGAGCCCGCTAGAACATATTTCCACCTTCGACCTATTAATAATTCAAGCATTAGCGTGAATCAAACCAAGAATTAATTATACGGTTTGGTCAACACCATTACGGCTTATTATTTGCCGTCGCTGAATAACATTTGCAGAGCCTCCATAATCCATATACCCTTCGAATATATATATAGAAATAACAATATATCTACACAATAAATCAAGCACAGCTCGTAGGGCCGTTTCACTGAAACCTGTAGTCCCTGCCTCAAGCTCCTGGCCTATTAAATTAGTTCCTACTGCCCCAATTAATTGGCTCAGAAAGCCACTTGCGAGATTCATTTATTGGTATTTTTAATGAAACGTAAACGTTTCTAATCAATGACGCGGGAGGCGCGCACTAAAGTCACCGGAACTTCTAGCCAGCATTGAAAACCAAAGGCGTGGCTTGCCACCCAGAGGCTGACGATGAAACCAAGGGCGTTCAAGAGGCGTTCCTGAAATTCGTTTGTTTTGTGAGGGTCAACACCAATGGACGTTCGGGCCTTAATATACAAGGCGGGTTCATGTACCAACTCCTCCCGCTTTTCATTGCTTGCCGCCGCATTTCCCAAATGCCGAACAGTTGGTGCGTAGAACAAATATTGGAGGATGGCTGTCGATAAAGCCTCTTGTAATTTAAGAAAAGTGTGATATAAAAGTCCGCGGGGAAATTTCAGAGTTACTACTGATTGGTGAGGCGAGTGAATGGTTCCTCAATATACGAACTGGGAAAGAACTTGCCGCTTAATCTGCTGACATTCGTAACGTTATTTGGACCATCGGTCGAGCGGATGGCGGTGTTTGTGGTGCAAGTGTGTCAATTAATTTGGTCCTATAATCTGATCTTTGAAGTTTGATGTAGCGAGGTGTACTTAGCTGACATGATGAGTGCAGTGGATACAGTGAAGTGGAGTGTATCATCATCCCCGGCAGCCTGTGATACGTCCAACGATCAGTCGGGAGACACGGAAGGAAATACCGAGAATGACATGGCCGGAAAATCGTGTTCGAATGACGACGGAGGTGAGAGCGACTACAGCGATGTTAGCGTGGGCGGTAGCCCTAGCTTTACACCATCACAAACCCCACCGCTGAATCACTCTTCCCCTTCTTCTCCGAGTACTTCGAGATTATGTAAAGCGCCATCGTCTCCTCATTCAGATGACGAATATTTTAAACCTTTAAAAAAACTAAGAATGATCCATTTGCAGAAACAAGATCTCGCCGATGAATCTTGCTCCCCACCCCAAAATAACGAATTAAATAATCGTCCATCGCCTGACCAGTCCGCTAGAATAAGTAACTCTAAGCCGCCTCCTGCCAGCGCTAGTGGAGTGAAATCTTTTTCTATTAACGACCTTTTAAGTCACGACCCACCGAGTCATAGTCACGCACAATCCATACATATAGCCTTAGCCACTAGAAGAATAGTGAGACCCTGGGATACTGACGAAGATGATGAAGACGAAACTGTGAGCTTGTGTTCATCTGAGTCTTCGTCAGCGATCGGGTCACCGAGGCCGGCGTCGGAAGGAAGTGCGTCGTCCGCTCGAGGTAAAGACGGCAACCCGCTAGACGCGCTCTTCCAGATGACAAGCAACACCTTCAATGCCCTTAAAAACGGCTCCACTGCAGGTTAGATTTATTAAAAACCAAATTTCATTTAACCATTTTTCCACGTACGTGTGCAAGTCATTGTTCTTTGCAGGCATTTGCCCGTTACTTTTTCTATTTAAGAAACGCTACTGAGCATCGGTAATATAATGTTAGTACGGAGCTGACAGAAGAATTTTCCACATTTGTTATACTATAGAAATATAGAAATGTTCCTAATAACAAACAACAATCATTTAAATGAAACACCATAATCAGGCTTAATTAACCTTAGGAAACGCTCGAGTATATTTCCATTCGGTCCAAAATGACGCTTTGCTTTCGTACAACAGCAAGATTATTATACTAACATGTAAGATTTTTTTCCTTTATTTAATCTTTGCTCCGTTAGAGAAATCATATGTTTTTCACGGGCAATTACAGCCTGACAACCAATTCACTCCAAAATTAATTTTTTTAATACAAAGAAAGCACCTAATTCTATCTGTTTCCATACAGGAAATATGAACAGATTATTGCGGTTGTTATTAATTAAGAACGATTCTTTCAGAAGCTTGTCACTGCTTATGCAAAAGTGGCTAAAATTTAATGTTGAACTGAAAGCTATTTCACTTCTTCTCTATTCCATTTCAAAAATCATTTTGTTTCCACTAAGGCAGCGAAGTAGCTTTGCAACGATATCACTTAAAACAGTTTTCATTCATTAATCGAACTGTTAGTTTCACCGCAGTATTCATCAAATGAACTAGCTTCGCATGATTAGGACACTTTACTGTTTTTCATCAAAGCTTGCTTTCATTAAAAGTGATATGATTGAAAAATTGTTTCGGACGGATGCTACACGTGTTTATGCTTAATATTTAATAATAAATTTATTAATTCATAGCATTCACATTGCCCATGCCCTGAATATATGTGCAACAATTAATTTATTCTCCAATGTCGCACTGAAATTGAAGAATAGTCTGAAGTATCAATGATGTTTTGGTCATTTTATAATAAACTCCGAGGTTGGCTTTCTATTAGCACGGTATTATGCGTATCATCGCTATGTGGCTTATTTCTAAACCAGATTCCTGATTCCATACAATTAATAATGATGATTTTGATACATGATATCAAAATAGTTTTGTGGTATCAAAATGATTTTGTAGTAAAAAATGATTGTTTATAATCCTGACAAGTACGATGCCACACAGAGGTTGATTTTGTGCAGAAAATAATTCTATCATGTTTCTATTTGATACAATTTTCAATTATTAATAATTGTGTGTTTATCATGTAGGTTATGCAATTTATTAAGTTTGCTATTTCAGTACTGAAAATTATCATTCCGATGATGCTTTCAAATGAAATAACATTCCAACTTCTGTGAAAATAATTCAATTAACATTATTACTCACTCAGGTTATCTAATTGAAATATTTGTTTTGCTGTAGATTTTAAAGATTTTTCTCTCATTCCATTATACTTCTCTATATAATGCCCTTGTTGTGTGAACATACAATTTATGTATTTTTAGATTAGCAGGGAACATCTAACAATCATGGTAATTGTGGCAAATTCGGTTAAATTATTTTATTAGCTTCCGGTTAGTTATATTTCTCGATTGATTTCCTAATTGTGTAATAACACAATTCACAATTTCAACACAATTCAATCAATCACAATTTTGTGTAATACTAACAATAACTTTCAAAAATAAGAGTTTGTTTGACGGATAAATATTCACATACAATTAAATGCTATTTAAAACAATTTTCAACTGAAACAAAATGATGTTACGTGTAAATTTGATTTTACGAATAATTAAACTAGCAAACAACAATACAAAATAAACTAATTTTTATAATGGAACGGTGTACACTAAAAACTCCGATCTAAGCTTACAAAAAGCTTTAATGCCTGTTTATGAAATTTTAAAGCCTTATGTTATATCATAAGGAAATTCATGTACGAGTATGAAAATTTTCCTGAGATAGGGATACTAACTCTCCATTAGAAATAAGGTAATGGCAAGTAAATTATTGGGAGTTCAAGTACCAAGTGAAAGTAGATCGATTTTAATTTCATCACCTGATGAATAAATAAGACAGAGTTAAATCATGACATTAATTCGATTGTAATTTCCATTTTCCATTTTCCGGTCTCAATTTCACTTGTTAATTTTTCAATTCTGTATCGATTAAAAATTCCATCTAATTTACATTTAACAAGTGTGCTGCCGAAGATAAGATTAATGTCTAGATAGTAATTTTAAATTGATTTGCATTGTGTGACACTTGTGTGCAGAGACGAATTCATATGCCTTCCTACCTTGTGTACAGTTCCAGGGTTTAATTCAAATGTAAACAGAATTAATTGTATATCATATGATTTTTATATTATCGCCGATCGCTGCGCGTTTCTCTCGTTATATGAATGCAGAGATGGAAATTTCCATTTAGTTGCGAGTATTAGCGACCGTACCATCAACTAAATAAAATATCCGGTTTGAAAGTTATTCTTTTGACAGAAGAGTAAAATGCCGGAATTAGTTAAAAGATTTGTGTCTAAATTTGAATTCATCATGAAGAACGCTTGTGTTTTGCCTCAATTTTGAAACAATAAATTAACTTCTGGTGACAGTCATGCTACTTCAGTTGCTATTCAGGCACCATTCGATATCTGTGATACCTCGACCTGCTTCAAAATTTTTCCGGACTCAAAAATTACGGTGATATTTTATAATATTATTCCATGTAATTTATAACAAATATAATATTCATGCAAGAGTATTCCTGAAACAAAAGATCGCTAAACAATGGCAAATATTTGTTGAACTTGATTAATAATCATAATTAATCGTTCGCCATTAATAATGTTCAAGATTTTACAAGAGTTTATAGGAAACAAGTTATTCAAAACTTGAAAATTTTAATTCAGGTTTCACAATGCAACTTTTATACTTTTGCAAGAGAGAGAAGCATAATTGAAATTACAGTCCCTGAGGACTGTCAATTCTTTATTTCATTTACCAAAGCTGGAAAATATCTTGCACACGATTGTTAACGGAAGCGCCCCGATATATGAAAATCAATGCTAGTGCATCAAGAATATTTGTTTTAAGCTGACGATTATAGCTGATCACTTTCATGCTCCATACTATTTTTTAAAACATGCACATCGTACGTAACAAAATGAGATGAAAATTTTCAACTCATTTTCTCTACAGCTTTCACTGATATCATTTTCTTCTAAATACATGGGGATTAGAAAAGTTGAAACAATATTGGAGTTTATAATCTGAATGGGAAAAACAGTTTAAGCTATTTCATTTGTTTATTCACGAGAATTATAAACAAAAAGACTGCATTAAAAGGATGATTCGACTAAATTACTTTGATCAACAAAATTTGTTTGATGGAAACTATTTTCACGTCTACGGGTAACTTGACCAACATGGCCAAACCATTCTGTAATTATTATTCAAGGTTTAGCACCATCTATTTTACATAAACCCGGTATACATTGCAATTTGCAATCAATTTACCGCAAATTTCTTCATGGTCACTAAAAAAAACGAGAATATTTGCGAGAGCAGCTGACCTAACAGCAGAGGTAAGTCTCGCTCTCCCGACGTCGGGCGAGGTGACGAGAGACGAGCGCCAGATGAACCAACTCGTGTCGGGTTGCCGCGGCCGCGCACGCTTCACTCGCCTGTAGTCGTGCCACCTAACCTCTGGGATAACTCTTGCTCCTTCCTTGCTGGTGAACTCCTGCCACAACTATTTCACCTCATCCATTGGGCTTCGTTGATGCATTTTGTTGGTGTTTGTATACCTAAATAGGTAACTTTAGACCTTCCCTGCAGCTACCCTCTTACAGCATGCAACTATTTCACCTCATCCATTGGGTTTCAGTAATGCATTTTGTTGGTGTTTGTATAACTAAATAGGTAACTTTAGACCTTCCCTGCTGCTACCGTCTTACAGCATGCAATCATTTCACCTCATTCATTGGGCTTCGTTGATGCATTTTGTTGGTGTTTGTATAACTAAATAGGTAACTTTAGACCTTTCCTGCTGCTACTGCTACCCTCTTACAAAATTATTTAATTCCGAACATTAGCGACCGTACCATCAGCTAAAAAAATATCCGGTTTGAACATCCGGCATTCACTTTTGCAACCATTTCACCTCATCCACTGAGATGCATTATGTTGGTGTTTGTCTTCCTAGAAAAGTTATTTGCACCATTTCCATTGCTACAACACCATCCTCTAAGAAAAAAATCGAAATAATTAGGTTATTTTTATTTGTGCTTCGTTGTCATTGCGGTTCATCTTACAATTCTTTCAGGGAGTAGCTCTTCCGTCATTATTTCACATTTCCATAAGAATCACATCGGTATTTTCAACGATATATCAACTAATCATTCACCAGCTTTCAAATATATTCGGAAGTAATTCCGAAGAAGCTTCTCCAATTGTGATACAACATAACTCTAGTTCAATAATTGCAATTAGCTAATTGAAAACAAGAACTAGAGAGTGAACTCTATTGATTTTCTTCGCATTGCTAGTGGCAGTTTGACGAGCTCGTGCTCAATTTGTCACCATGGACATGCAGCAGGCGCAGGTGTACATGCATCAGTTAATCACGGCTCCTAATTAACTTCAGCTTCTGAATGCTGCAAAATTCATTTGCAGTCGAGGCTACACGTGCACCTAGATTTTCCATGACTGATAAGTTTAAAATGCGCGTTGTTAAAGCGAAAGATTTCATTCAGTGAATATCAAACTTCAACTATCATTGCATTTTCGTCCTGTTCCATAAATCAAATTTTAATTTTCTAATTAACATTTATTATTGCCCAAAAAAGTGTTATTTCAACATTATGAACTACTAGCAGAGGAACCTGGGGTTGAAGTGGGATACATAATTCTTGCATTTTGTGGTCTGGTCATCAAGAATTACGTTAACTATTCTAAAATTAAACTACGTTAATTTAGGAAAAAATATTCAAAATCATGTATAGCA